ATAAAAAAAATAAATTGTTTTTTCCGAATATTCTAATACCGCGTAAATCTAGTGTGTAACAAAAAAAAAAAAGAACAAAGATAGATAGATGCACTTTTATTACTTTTTAAATATTAAGAACTTTTCAAATTATTAGTGAATTTGTTCTTTAAATTGATGTTTGGTGGGTTCCATTTCTCTAAGCAAATTTGACTTTAAAGGAAGACCGTTGATTCCCAATGATTCGTGTAATCTATTTGGGACTGAATTTCTTCCTTTTTCAATAATGTTAGATTTGTTTTCCTTTTCCCTCTGTTAACTCACAACCCTACTTTATCGTCTTCTTAAAAGTCATTGAAGGTTTATTGGCTTAATTCTAAAGTTAGTTGATGTCCCTTTAGTCTTGGTTTATTTGTGTGTGCCACAAAATTAAGGTTCACTTGCTTATTTTTGTATTGTTTGTATTCTTACTAGAGACAATAGAAATATGGTATACATCAAGAGTTTGTTCGGTAAGAAAATCTAGGACAGTGAATCCGTAAGATTTTAGATGAATTTGATGGTTCTACACAATTGAAATCTTGACCACACACCACAAGTACACAAAACTATCGATCATTTTCTTGTGCTGCATTGTCTTTCTTGTGGCACATTGTGCACCTATATGTTACAGAGAAATATAACAAGAGATTGAACATACACAACAGTGTTAACACCCAGTAATAGTTATCCAACCGGCTCTTGTTTATTGTGTCTTGAAACCATTTGCCTCCGCTTACTCTGCCAATCACGCTAACGAGAGCGATATTGCTCATGATCCCGACCCCGCACACGCCTACGTTTAATAGAACCATGTATTGGCTCAACTCTTCAGGGACGGTTTCTTCTAGGTAAATCGCAAAGCTGTTTTCGTAGATCCCTGTGATTGATCCGAGAAGAATGTACTGTGGTAGCAGCCAGAATACACTCATGGGAACGGTTTCATATACCAAACCTTGAGTTGTCACCACTTTGAGCCTCCTGGACTCGACGTGTGCAGCAATGGCGCAGCAGAATATCGATAGGATGATGGAGACTGGTATACCATATGGACTTTTGGTTTGTTTTGGTGATTCGGGGTTAATGCCCTGGCGTTTTGCAGCCATGACGCATAATCCTCGGGATCCAAGCCTTGCAGCTTCACTAA